AACTTCACAAGACTCTTCCGCTTTGGAAGAGGAAATGGAGAAGCAACTGACGGTTCAACTTCATGAATCTCTTCCACTTTAGTGGAGGAAACAGAGAAGCAATTGACGGTTCAACTCATGAGACTCTTCGACTTCGGCAGAGGAAACAGAGAAGCTACTAACGGCTCAATTCATGAGACTCTTCGACTTTGGCAGAGTGAAGGGGAGAAGCGACAGCTAGATTATAATTAAATGAAACATATAAATATTAGTTAAGAAAATAATTTCGACGGAGGGCTTAGATTTACGAAGAGGCAATATTAGTTAAGGAAACCGATAATAAATTAATAAACATATATAATTAAATGGGAAAACGCATAAATTAAGAAACATATAATTAAATGAAATAGATGGGAAACTAAAACGTTTAGAAATTTTAAAATTAATTTGGAATGAGGTCTACATAAAGAGCATTAAATTATATAAGTATTATTTTTTGAATTATTAATTATTTATATTATAATGGATGGCCAAGATAATTTAAGAAGAAATAAAATGGATGGACAAGATTTACTTGGGGAAGGAAACTCAAGCCCCTTTTATAATAGTAGTATAGATGTAATATCAAGGCACAATTAGAGATTGCTTTCATTATTTGAGCTTAACAAAAGGAGAGGACTCTATTCGAAAATGAAGAACTCTCAAAATTTTGACATTTTTCATGTTTAAATATTCTCATACTTATTAAGAAGTTTTAAACTAATCTTATCATCTACAAACATGCTATTCTAATATAAATCATGTACTATATTATATTATATACTATTATAATAAAGGAATTATTTACTATATGCTATGTAGTGATGGAATGTAAATGGGATGGAAAATGAAAAAATGGGATGGGTTATAAAAATGTTTTATATTGAAATGATGTTATCTCCAATTTGAGGTTTAAAATTCTAGAAAGAGTGGAAAAACATCTCAAATTTTGGAAGTTTTGGAATAAAATAAGTTTTGAAAATAAAGCCAAAGAATGGTCTTCACTCAAGATGTGGTTGAGTTAATAAAAATTTTCAAATCATTTTCAAGCACGTTATATTAGAATTCGAAGAGATCATTATTATATTTCTAATATCATTTTTCCTGTCTGTTGACTTACATTTCTCTTGCATTTAATACTATAGCTTTTTAATATTTCAATAAAGTTATTTTATATATAAAATACGTTTTATATGAATCATTAAGTATTTATTTCATAATTTGTTGAAAAAGGCGCAAAACAATAGAAAAAAAATTAACATAATATTTTTATGACTTTTAATATGGTTTTAATTGTTTGGGATGAATGCCAATATCAATAATAAAAGTGGCTTTATTGTCCAATTGAACTGTTATTCCATATAATGAAATTAATGAATGCAAAAATTTGTTTTATCAACTTCTTGATTATCTTATCTGCTTATGCATTGCAGGGTTCTTTCTTGTTGTAAATAATGTCATACTTGGCTTGGCGGTCGCCTGAATTATGTTGTTCTCCAAAGGCTAAAGTTTGAATCCTAATTGATGTGAAACAACCAGGAATTTTAGGAAATAATAAAATTATTGGTAGTTCACTACTTTAAGATTAATGAATTGTAAGAAATAGCTTTAAGAATTATCTTTTGAAATTTTGATCAGGCATGCAGTTACACTTTTAAGAGAACATATAATTTTAAAACAAAATCAAGAAATACAATAAGGCAAGATGTATTGGTAATAATAATCTGCAGGTTAATATCAAGAGCTTTCATCTCGAGTTTTCCTTTTTCACTCACGCTTTTTAAGGAGGGAGACCTTTAGCAAACTAAGCGATGCCACTAGGAGGGTGACGACGCCGATGGTCTTGATCCACGGGAGAGTAGCTGAAGGAGGCACCAGTGGTCTTCCGATGAGCTGCCACTGTCCGGATGGTCGCTGCTCGTCGATCGTCTCGGTGAGGTGATAGAGTATGCGATTTACGTAGTCTTCGACGGAAGCATCAAATTCCCAGTCGGGATCAAAGAAGGGTGACTGAAGGATTTCGATTTGTCCTTGAGAGTTGTAGAAAAATCCATGAACGACCTCAGGACCGACCATCCAAGAACATGGACATATTAGTGATTAAGAACCGCGGAGGAGCTGGCGGTGAGTGAAGAGAGAATGGAGGAGGGTCGGCGAGTTTTGGAGAAGTCGGGTGGAGGAAGGGGCCGGCTAGGGTTAGGAAAGGTTGGGATCTTCGGGTATAGGAGGAGGGGCGGCTAGATTAGGATTATTTGGACTTCTTTTAATTACCGAGGAAGGTAATTAAAATCAGCAAATTAATGAAAAGGGGAGGGAAATTAGAATTCAAAAGAATTCCCAATTAGGTCAAGGGAGGGCTGGCGACATGCTTGGGAGGAGGGGATTGAGGGGAATTTAAAGGTTTCCTAAAGCATGAATCTAATTTAGGAATAGATTAATCCAATCAAATCTAATTTAAAATTAAATTAGACCCAATTAGGAGACTTTGTATTTTCGGTTTAACTAATTTAGGAAATAATTCAAATTCAAATTTGAATTTCAAACTTAATGACTTCTTTCCTAAATTAATTGGGACAGTTTAGGTAACCATTAATGATGATTGAAATCATTATTAAGAGGGATAAGGGTAATTGGGGGGCTGGCAGTGGGTTGGGAAAAGCAGGCTGGCTGGGTGTTGGCTTAGCCGTCGGTTGGGGTGGGGGAAAGAGGGTGGGGATTCATGACAAAGGTTGTTTGGAGGATGACCGGTGGGTAGAGCAAGGGGAGGGGTGGGCCAGCGATGAGGTGAGGTGCAAGAGCGGCCGACAGCTTAACATAAGGAGAGGAGATGAGCGACGAGCCGGGGACTCTTCCGCCGACTGGTGGATGTTGCTTTGCCCACGCCTTGGGACTTCACCACTCAAGAACTCTCAAGCTCAGGAGGAAATCATAAATTTTATTCATCAATCATTAAAAAACTAATACAAAGACTATGACCACTATATACAGGCCTCAACAACGAAGAAATATCAAAGACACATATGCCCTTCGGGCTACAACTCACTAAACTCCCTTGTAGGGGTATAAAGGTCAACTAAAACAAATAATAAAAATAATACTAATACAATAACATAAAAGAACTCATAAATAGATGCTCCTAATCGTGGCCATCGATCTGCGATGTCTCCTGTGATAGACGTGATGTCGGGGTCCAAGGGGGCAGAGCCCCTTGGCGGGGTTCTGCCCCTCTGCCTCACTAATAACACCTCTACACAATGTGTTTAATTATATTGTATATATATATATATATATATATATATATATATATAGGGTGGAAAATAAACTTCTAATAAGCAATATTGTAGTACAGGCTTTTAAACAAATGCTATATTCTTGAAAAAAACCGTATTATGCCAGAGAGGGAATGTTTGATTTAGTGACTGTTGTAATGTCATGCTATATTTATAAAAAATATCAATTTTTTATTCACAAATATTTTAAAATAACAATTGAAAAAAGACTGCCATCACTTATTTTACTAATATTACAGGCCTGTCAAATCAGGCGACATCTAACAATATGTCATTTGAAAAATCCTATCATTGTTTTTTAATATATATGGCATATACTTCTCTTATTATTACAACATCGAACCATATGCATAGTATTTGACAAGTAATACTGGTATCATAATAAGTGGCATCTCAATAACATTGAACCAGACAGTTTCTAAGTTAAATGCTATAATCCTGTCATAATCATTTTACTTGCAGATAATTGGAAGTGAATGTGTTTACTATTATCATGATATGATAGAAGAGATGTTAAAATGGGGATTCCAAGAGGGTAAAACCTTATTTGGCTTTGGATATGACTTTCGACAAAGTAATAGGTATGTGCTCTTTACCATGATAGTTAATATTTCTTATGTCTTCTAAAGATTCTCATGTTTGAAGGAAGAATTAGATTTTTGTGTAATTTCTTAGATCAAAATAACGTCTTAAATTCTGTTCCTTCCCAATGTTATTTTTGATCTGTAAAAATGTGTTGAAATGTTAATGTTTCTTTTATTTCTGGTGTATATAGATTTAACTTAGGATATATTTCTCAATTTTTTTTAATGTTTAATAATTCAATCAATTCTGTTGAGGCCAAATTCGTAAATCAAAGAACAGAGGGAAGGATAACCACCTATTCTCTTTAAAATCATTAAAATTGTTGGTATATATGGTTTTCAATAACTTTATTGTCATTAAATTAGCTTTGATCATATACATTAAAATTTACTAAAGGGATATTTTGATGCATCTTGGAAGTAAAAACAACAAGTAGATAAGAAGAAAAAAATGCAGAAATCAAATATTAGGGCTGATTTTTTATTATATCTTCAACAAATACTAAAAGATACAATTGATCTACTATTTGAGAGATAGATTGACTATCCCACAAATCCTAGGTGTTGCTAGAAACAACTCCAAAGAAAAACTATAGCAAACACAATCATATCATGAAAATAAAGCCACCCAATTATCCCTAATATAAACCTTCATACTTCCCTCCCAAATCTTAATTCAAATAAGTCATATTTTCCTAAATAAACCTTTCCTAATTCCCTTCAATCAAATTAGCATCTTTCCCTAAATAAATTATTCCTATTTCTCTTCCAATCAAATCATCTATCTTTCCCTAAATAAACATTTTCTAATTCCCTTACAATCAAATCTATCCTCTTTCCCTAAATAAATATTTCCTAATTAGTTCCCCCTTAATTTCTTCTCCTTACATAATGAATAATAAATCTTCTGAGCCCCACAAAGGCGTATCAATACTCCTCTCCCCAAAGAGACACCTTATGTTATGCCCCAGAATCTAATTTGAAAGAATTATTCTTTTATTTTTTAATTTACACAACCAAAGGTACCTAATTTATCAATATAAATATTAGAAAAAATAAAACTATTGATCAAAATATCAATATATACATATGTATTTATTTCACAAAAATCATGTACACTACTCATGATCTATACAATTATAACATATTCATTCTGCCATGAGTACAAAAGAATAACTAAAATAACAAGAACTTGAACCTGAAGGATCCTGATCAATCTCACACTTCTGCCCTCTTGCCATGGCATGAAATTATTTAACCATATATAATGAGCTCAAGAGCCCAACAAGTAACCAAATTCTACAACTGAACTCAAAACACATCAAATGAGCAATATGCATATCAGCGGTCAAATCATAACAATAATATTTATATGATTATGAATATGTGTAGAAATAGTGAAGCTCGCATGCAGTAGTAGTGGAATATGTAAACAGTAAAATAGTTAGTCAATAAAGCAGTACGGTGGAAAAACCAGTAAACAAGTACGAATGCCGAATCAATAAAATATTATTTTAGTAATATCAATCAGTAAATGAATCATAAAAAACAAAAAAAATCAAAGCATCGATAAAGATTGTCAGAATCATATCAATGAAGTAAAACTCTATAATGATGTACAATGCTATCCAATTATTCTATATCAATATCAAGTTCGTATCTTAATCACATGCTTAGTATATCACATGTTCATTATTAATACACTGAATCAATAACAATAACGATAGCAGTGAATCAATAGTAGTATCAAACAACATCGATGTACATATCGGTAACAATGTCAGTACAGTATCATCAGTAAAACTGGTGCGGTAATAGTAAAGTAATGAAGTAACAGTAAATATCTACAATGACAACAAATCAATGCAATATCAATAAAGACCTACAATAACAATGAATATGTAAAATGCATTTCGGTGGTCACACTTAAACAAGTAAGAAGTACTTGCTATCACAATATTTTTTCAATAGTCGTTAATTAATAATCAGTAATTATTGGCTCATTAAATAGAGTCATGACTCTTTGCCGGTCGACACATCAATAGAGGATAACACCCATTATAGTATTTAAAGGAAAGCCTGTCGGCCACTATCCTGTAAATGTTAATCAATCTTCAACCAATGAGTCAACCAGTCTTTATTTGGCGGCCACTATTCTTAATGGTTGTATTAACAATATGCTTAAATAAAAATATCCAATTTTTATGCAATATAAATCATACACAATTTAATAACTTTTATTTTATCTAGTAAAATTAAAAAATGTTATAGTCAAAATCTCCAGAATAATCAGTACGATATCATACAAAAGTTGTGTTGTAAAAGTTCAATAAATCCTAAAAGAAATAGTAAAATCAATTTTGAGGAGAAGTCAATTGTCAAAATAAAAATCTTTTGAAAGTAGAGATATGATTTAAATCACGTACTTCGATCTAAACAATTTTTGCAAAAGTAGCAAAGTGATTCGAAGACAAAAAATGGAAATTGTCCTTTCTCTCTCCTTCACAAAAAATAATTATAATTGTTTACAAGTACTGAAAAAGTAAAATGCTCTAGGCCTAACATTACAGTGCTCTAATTCAAACAAAAATTCAATTTTTTTTTTCATTTTTTATTATTTTCAAAAATTTGAATTGTTACACCTTATCCTCAAGGTGGATTGATGCGATCTGTCTCTTGATAAACTCGTATGGCTCCCATGTGGCTTCATTTGTCTTTCTCAATTGTGCATTCGTGGCTTTGTTCTCCAGTCCTGGGTGATATTATATCTCAAAAGCATATCCAAGTAACCTGGATAACCACCTCTGACGCTCCTCAGTCACCATCCTCTGCTCCAATTGAAACATCAGACTCCTCTGGTCTGTCTTGACGATAAAGTGTCGCTCCAAAAATAGGGCTACACTTTTGGATGGCTAAAACAATTGCCATCAACTCTCACTTGTATAAGGACTTGAGCCGAGCACTTAACTGAAATAGGCGATGGGCTGATTATTCTGCATGAGTAAGGCCCCTAGTCTATATCTTAATGCATCTGTCTCTTCCACAAGTAGTCTACTGAAGTCAGGAAGTGCCAACACTGGCACACAAGTCATCACTTTGTTCAATTGCTCGGAGGCATGTGTTGCTGCTTCACCCCAATTGAAATTGCTCTTCTTTGGCCGCTCCGTCAGTGACCATACTATCGTACCATACCCTTCACAAACTTTCGATAGTACCCAGTGAGACCTAAGAACCCTCTCGTCTCCTTCAAGTTCTTTGGTAATGGCCAATCAAAACATAGCCTCAATCTTGGATTGGTTTGCTGTTACCTCTGTTTTTTTATCACATGTCATTGGTACTCCACCTGTGACTGTATAAATGACCATTTTTCAGATTGACATACAACTGGTGCTCCCTTAAAGTCTCCAGTACAGTCCTCAGGTGACCTAGATGCTTTGCCACCATTTTTTCTCACTAGTAGAATTGAGCTAGAAAATGGGTTCATATTGTAACAGCCAAAACTCTTAACTATTGAGATATTGTCCTCTTTGGCCTAAGATCTCACAGTTTTGTCTTGTTGGTGTAACTTTTTAGTAGGTCACCTATCTCAGGATTGCCCTAGGATGAGCATGCTTAACTACGGAGTTTCTTAATAAAATTTTAACTATTACACAAAAATGCGCCTCGATGTTTAAGAATTTAGCTTTCTCTAACTTAAAGGGTTTCACATTTTGGGTGATCCCTTTTTCCCTGAACTGGTTGAATTCCTTTATACAACACTATGTCAAAGTTTCCTAAGCCCGCACTGTGTCGAATTCTTCAATGCAGCATTGTGCCGAACTCCCTTTGCCTGCACTGTGTCGAACATTCTACAGTGGCTATTTGCATGAATTTCGAACAAAGTATAGAGGAGAGGACCCCACGCTATAATTGCTCTCATCCTCATACACCCTAAAGGAAGCATCTATTCAGTACATTAAGTAAAAATTAATTTATTTTACTGTGAATTATAATTAAAAAGTATTAATTAAACTTATTTAATTTTAAAAGAAATAATGGGTTGAATTTAGATTACCTGAAATTTCTGGTTATTACACTAAATGTCCCTCCTTATTAGAATTTCGTCTAAGAAATTCAGCTTTTCATACTTCCTCAAATAGAAAAGGAAATTTTTGCTTCATATATGCCTCTTTTTCCTATGTAACATTCTTCACTGATCTGTGCTTCCATTGAACTTTCACAAAAGGAATTATTCTGCTTCTCAGTTTACGAACATCCATTTCTAATATCCTTTTAGGTTCTTCAACTTATGTCAAATCCTTTTGAAGCTTAATTTCATTTTGCGGAACTCTTTGATTTTCATTTGTAACCCATTTTTTCTGAGCATTGATACATGAAAAATATTATGCATATCAGACATGTTTGAAAGTAATGCTAACTTGGAAGCAACTTTTCTCATTCTTTCAATGATCCAAATGGACCAATATATCTTGGATTGAGTTTTCCGCCTTGGCCAAATCTTGCAACACCCTTCATTGGTCTTACATTTAAGAATACAAAATCTCTCACTTCAAATTCTATCATTTTATACTTGGGATCATTGTATTTCTGCTGACGGTCTTGAGCTGCTTTTAATCTGACCTTGGGGGTGGTCATTTGTGTTTCATTCTACTGAGAAATTTCTTAATTAGGGATATCTACATTAGATTTGTGATTCAGGGTAGAGGTTGGGTAGAGGTTGTTAATGTGTAGAGGGGTTTTCATGCCTGGTTAACCTAGGGGTGGATACATTAACAATGGGTATAACAGCTCATAGTTGAAAGTACTTTGCAGGAGCAGGAGCAAATGTAAAATGCGGATTTAGAAAGCTAACCCAATAATAGTTGCGATAAGGCTAGTGATAATAATAATGTTAGCAAAGGGGAGGATGGAAGTTGCATGAAATATGGAAGAAGTACATTTAGGTTAATTGTCCATACCCACAATGACTTGGATGTTGATTTTGCATTACAGGTGAGAGGATAGTTAGGGTCAATAGAAATATGGTTAGAAAGTTGAAGTTTCATGGTGAGAAAAAGTTGCTTTGGTGTCTTTCAGTTCGTGTCATTGCTCTTAAATGTTGAGAATTAAATCACAAGGTCGACTGCAATAGTTATTAAAAGGTGACGATCTTGAGATTGAACGATGGAATTTAGCAACTGAGAATAATGGCAGTTCTTTCTCTTCTGCATGAAAACGAGCCATACAATTGTTCGTGTTGCTTAACCTCAAAAAGCTGGCCTTTTATTGTACAAATTACATGATGGCAAGCAAACCAGCTGAATTTTATAGCATGATTTTATTTTAGGATTTGGTTTGGAACATGAAATGTCAATCTTGGTGGCAAAGACTTTATGCTAGCTAAGGGTGTCAATTTCGGGTCACGGGTCGGGTTCGGGTAGAACCCGAAACTGACTTGACACTATTCGGGTCAACTCGACCCGACCCGCTTAGGGTCCGGGTCAACCCGACACGACCTTCGGGTCCGGTTCAACCCGACACGACCTGAATAACACGAGACCATGAAAAAAAATACTAGTTTTCGGGTCCAAAAACGGGTCAATCTCCTCTTTTCGGGTAAAAAATTGGTCAATCTCGGGCTGCGAGGTCAAAAACGGGGTTTCAGATAAAAAAAGGGGTCATTTTCGGGTCAAAGGGTCAACCCAAACCCGACCCGATTTTTGAAACGGGCCGAATTGTTGAAACCAAATCCGACCCATTTCTGGTTTGGGTTGACCCTAACCCGAAATTTTCCGGTCAGATTTGAGTCAGGTTTTTGGGTCGTGTCAAATATTGACACCCCTGATCTTAGCTGAGACCAATTTGATCAAACTCATTTTTGTTCCATGATATAATGTACAAATTGTACGTGGCATTCCAAATATCATATTCATGTGCATGTATCCACGCTTAGTATAATGCATATAGTTTTCTTTTTTTATGTTTATTTTTCTTGATCAGATAAAGGTATTGATAGCATGTTCTGAATGCCAACCATGGAACGGCTTTATAATGTTTTGTAAGAACTTTACTGGATATATCAGTTGTATCCTTTTTTGTTCAGGCTTCAGGAAACTCTTGATAGATTTTCTGCCAAATTAGAGTCCATATTCAATTCATCTGGAGGAAGGAAATTGAATCTTGTAACTCATTCCATGGGTGGCCTGTTGGCAAAATGCTTTCTAAGTTTGCATGCTGACGTGAGTGTTCTATCTTCAAGCAAATTAAATTTGACTTCCTGATTTTTTGTTTAACTGTCTTTCTATCTTTGAGGTTTTTTTTTTTTTCTCTCTTGCTGTTTCCTTTTAAATGAGTACTAACCTTTCAAACTAATGTAATACTGCATAGGTTTTTGAGAAATATGTTCAAAACTGGATAGCAATTGCCGCACCATTTCAAGGTAACGTGCCTACAAATTTGTGTGCGAAGTATTACATTTGTTAGCTAGTTAACTAATTAGTTTGAATCAGGATAGGCTATGGAAATTGTTATAGAACTGCAGTCCAAAGTTCCTTTGTGTTATTCAATCAGTATTGTGATATTGATAATGAAAGGGTAATGTGAAAGAAACAACTAGTTAAACAGTAGGAGGAACATATGTTGAAACTATATAGAGATGAAACTTGACCTGCATAAGGCCTCTTTAACTAAAGTCAGTAGTTTAATGATGCTTGCAGCTGATGAGGTGGATTATGCTTCTGATAAGATTACCTTTGAATTTGTTTTTTTTTGGTAGATCAATATTCTGTTCTTATATTTTTCTCTTTGTTTATTTTTTTTGTTTGTTCGATAGGTTCTTTATTTGCTTGAGGACTTCAGTTCCCTCCTTCTGTATGATTTTATTGGATTTTAGTCCTTGTAGTTCTAGTTTGATTGTGGTTAGGGCTGCAAACAAACCGAACCGAACTGAGCTTCAGTCTGTTCAAGTTCAAGCTCGTTTGTGAAGATTGTGCTCAAGTTCGGTTCGAAACTCGTCGAGCTTCTTGGACAGCTGTTCGAGCTCCTCGATTTCGACTCATGTTCGGGTTGAGCTCATTTAACTTCAAGCTTATCGAGCAGCTCGTTAAGGAGCTGAGCCGAACACAAGCACAAAATAAATATTTAATTAAAATCATGGCTAACAACTTGTTACCAATCCGCCCAGTAAAACCCGCCCAACCCTGTCTGTCCGCTGTGCAGCAAGGGTTCTCAACTTGCATTTGTTTTTACATAGCAATAAAACTTTACACCATGCGGTGTGGCCACAACTTTTTTTTTGTTGAGTGTTGATGCCATGGAGGAGAGAGAGAGGGCGGGTGGGAATATAAAGAGGGTAGACGGGAGAATGACAAAACATGTGAAATTTTAGATATAGAGAGAGAGGGCTGGCAAGAATATAGAGAGAGAGGGCTGGCGAGAATAGAGAGAGAGAGAGGCTATTTTTTAAAAAAATTGTTAAATAAGTTACCCAAACTACTTAAGCTTGCGAGAGCACGGTTCACGCTTCTAAAATTTTTCCTGAGCTGAACAAACACCTCTCGTCAGTGCTGCACTTGAACTTTTGATCTCCATTGACCTGCTCTTTCACTTCCCTCTAACTAAACTCCTTTGCATGCTACCATCTTCTCTCTCCTTGATATCCTTCTCTTTGTCATCAACTCTTGAGACACTTGGCCTCCCATATTTCTTGTTATCTTGTTATGCCCATATATTGATATATTTGAGCTAATATGAAATGTGGATGATATATTGCCTATTGCATTTGTCTCCATCTAACAATGTGCATAAGCACTAAGCACCTTTATAATAACCTCGTTAATAAATAATATAATAGCTTTAACCCTATCATTAATTCTATTTATTTCAACGACTTTATCTTTCAATTCTATCTACTTCTATTCATTCCCTATGTCTACTGTTATCCCTCTCAGTGTACAATAGCTTATAAGTTTCTCTTATATTCCCAGATTTCTCCTCTTCTAGTAGTTTCTTGCAAACAGCCCACACTAATTCTTCTTCTTATCATTGTAACCATCATTTTTTCTATTCCTTAAATGATGGATAATAAGCAATTATTACTTGCATATAGTTTTCCTTGATAATATTAGATTGTGATTTTATTTGTATGATAATCTATATAGTTGCAGTTTGCTTATATTATTCTTCTAGAATTACTGTGGTTTTTTTAGTTTGGTACTTAAATGGTTGGTGCTCATTAACTATGTTGTACCGATACGGATACGGCGACACGGATACTACACGATACGGATACGGGACACGTCAATTCTTAAAAATACAGGATACGGGTACGATGCGGACACAAAGCGGACACGACATTATAATTTATAAATCATACATAAACATTAAGAAAATAATCAAAGTATAATATTTGAAATTACAAAAACATCATTTGTAGCCTTGTATCTTATAATATCAAAATATAAGTAAGCATTAAATGTCTAGTACAACAACAAAAGCATAAACATAAATTATCTAGCACATGAAGTTTCAACTATTCAATAGAAGTAATGATATAATTATTTTCTTCATTGGTTCGTCTTTGAACTTCTATATCATCTTCAATAAATATCATAGCTTCTAATTCAGGCTCATCAAGTGAAAGATTAGTGTTTTTTAATTTTTTCATATATAATCAAGAAACTCAAATCCATCTCTAAAATGAGAGAATCTTGCTCGCAACTGCGGAAGTAAATATGACGCGTCTTTTTTTTCTGATTTCTTTTTGTTTTTCAACGGACACGCGTGTCCTTTTGAAATTAAATAGTGTTTTAATTGGATACGGCTTTGGCGTATCCGACACGTATCGGTGGAGTATCGGAGGCGTATCCGTGTGTCGGTGTATCGGATACAACACGCCTTCATAAATAGGTGTATCGGTGCAACATAGCTCATTAATATTTCAAAAGTGTTGAAATTCTTGCATGAATGATTTCTCATTCTTAGCAGCTTTCCATTTATTTTGTTTTCTTAGTGTCATTTTTGGCTTTGCGGGTTCATCTGATCCTTTCAGAGAATATTCAGATAACATTACATGGAAGTATCATCAGAGATTTAGCCTAATGCCATGCTCTGTTGAGTTTATTTTGTGCATCGAGGTGATATTGAAACGTAGAACAAGCTGAAATTGGCAGGAAGTCAAGATCCTACTTAATATCATACGGGATGTTCATATCCCTGTATAAAAAATCAAAAAGAAAAAGATATATCGAACTTATCCAAGAAACTTGCCAAAAATAACAAAATGCCATCTGAAAACTTTGCAGCCGATACCCCAATAATGGTATCTGGCATTAAATATGATCCAATGCACCTTGGCCTGTGCTTATCAGGTTTTGAGTGAGCTTTTTCTAAACATTTTTTATGCAATTCCAACCAACAGCTACAAAGTTATGACCGATTTCAGGTGTGGCATTTATCTCATTTCTGTTTGTCCCGAAACCATCAAATCTCTCATGTTAAATCCTAAGCCATCTTTTGAGATCCTTTCACATCATCACTGTTTTTATACTTTCTGTTGTCTAAGTTATCACAGTACCTTCCCTCTCCCCATGTAGACATTTATCCAATTCATTGTTACATGTGTATATTTTTTGAATTTCCTGTAAAGGAAATTGAAATTATTATTTACCTATTTTATTTTGAAATATTTTATTCAGGTGTAATACTTTGTTGTATTTACAGGGGCACCTGGATACATCACAACCAGCCTCTTAAATGGGGCATCTTTTGTGGAAGGTTGGGAGGAAAATTTTTTCATTTCTAAGTTGTCCATGCAGCATCTGGTATGCTTCTATGGCACTGGTTTTTGTGTTGTTTTCTTCTTGAACTTTCATGTCATGTTTTTTAGTTAGTAATGTATAAAAAATGATCAATGTTTGTGATGTTTCACCAATCATTATTCTTTTTTACAATAAATGTCTGATCTTTCTTTATTTTGAATAGTAGTTATCCCTTTCCCAACATCATGTCATTTATTTTGATGGATTTCTTTTCTATTGCCCACATGAGCCTTTATTGTGTATACTTTTGAGTTTGAAGTGTAAGATGTCATCACTGCCATTATACCAAATGCTCAGCATAAATTTGAAATATTTGTAAATTGTCGCCGAATTTGAAAGCTTCTTTCATCTTTCATTTTAGTTAACCGCATGTGCAAAGGCTGCCCTGTCAATAAAATTAACAATTTGGGGTGTTTGGTGTTGCTGAGTAGCTCTAAACTATAAGAAATGAGTCGGTAATCAATCTGTTGAGTTTTACTGTCTTAAGAAAATTCTTCTATTTGACTTCTATGAAGGTGTCAGATAATTTTTAATTCTCTTGTTAGTTGAATGGCGTAAGGTTATCACCTTAGATGAACCGTGAGAGACAAAACGAGGAAGAAATAAATGACAGGATGATCCCTGGTCTGAAGCAAGTAACCAATTTTGTATTGGTTAATTCCTATCAGGATTTGGATAGGATAAGTTGTAAGATTTTTTCGCCTACCCGACAATTTTTTCTTATTTTTTCATTTTTTTGGCTTAAGATCACTCGGAATAGGTTTATATTTCCTTTTTTGACCTATGCTTCTTTTACACGGCTCTTAATTTTCTTGTATTGAAGGGCTCTATCAAATTGGTTACCATCTTGTCATTAAGCAGCAGAGTTGCAATATATTTGGCTGTTTTAATCTGGCTATTTATTTTCCATAAAATATTATGATAAATATGGCCATTGCGTGCCATGGGTTGTACTTTACATCTTCTTAAATCTTGCAGAAATGTTATACTTAGTTTTAGATCCATTTGTACGCGTTGGTGTGCAGAGTCCTAATAAATTTGTAACAGGAGTTATTGTACTTAAAGGATTCTTCATCAGAATCATCAACCTTAAAGGCTTAAACCAAATACTTGGCTTTTCACAATTGTGAATCTCTATGGTTTTACATTGGTTTAAAACAGGTTTTTGAACTGTTGTAACCCTCAACTTTCCTATGTTGTCCTTTGGTTGTTAAATGCTACTATAGTTATTAAATATTTTTAACACACAAAAATATAATTAACATTAATTGTTTCATGCTTCTACATTTCAAAGATTGATCATTGTAAATCAGAATCTAATTGTAGATCCTTTTGTAGCTGATTGAATGCCCGTCCATTTACGAACTGATGGGAAGTCTCAGTTTTAGCTGGGAGGAAATTCCGCTTTTGCAAATTTGGAGAGAAAGACGTGATAGTTCAGGTCAAGTGCATGCGTTGCTGGAGTCTTATGAAGCAGATGAAGTTACAGCTATAATGAATGAAGCTCTATTGGGCAATAATGTAAGTTTCATGTCGATTCCTTTCTAGTTTATTATGAAGCAGGTGCTAAATTATAAGGGGTAAACCCTCTTAGTTTTGTTTGTTGGCTTTTGCAATGTGGGAGATGATCCTTATCTTATATATAGTCGTTAATCTGATGTGTTGTGGGTCTGTTTCCTCCACCCCTAGCAAAGATTTATGGGCACAAAATGAAAATAGTTACAAATTCCCTCGAACTTAGATAATTCTGTCACCTTAAAATTTGATATTCTAAAGAGTTTGATGGACTGGTTGAGCCGGTCCAACCAATCAACCTGGCCCCAACAAAGGGCCAGTCTAGCTAGCGGGCAGAAGAGCCATGTGGGCCTCACTTGTGTGGGCAACAAACAAGGAGCGAAGGAAGGAGGGGGTGGTGGGAGGGCTCAAAAGGGATTAGTTCTGTCTTTAATTGCTTATATTAGAAAATTAAGATTGAGAGGAAATTAAGATGGTTTATTTAGGGAAAGAGGGTTAATTTGGAAGGATCATTTAGGGAAAGAAGACTAATTTGAATTCAGATTAGGGAGAGAATTAAGAAGGTTTATTTAGGATTGTTGGATTAATTAAGTTGTTTTGTTTTCATTAGGGGATTTTGTGTTTTGCAGTAATTTTCCTTGGAGTTATTCCTAATGGCGCCTAGGGTTTGTGGAGGGTCAATCTACATCTAGAATAGTAGATTAACTTGTATCTTGGTTTGTTGTGTCGATATCAAGTCAATGTTCGTCCATACTGGTATTCCCAAGGAACACAAACATGCTACCATCTTGAAGGAAGAAATCTCACCTATCAGTATTCGTCCATACCATTATTCCCAAATCCAAAATGATGCGATCGAGAGATTGATTAGGAAGATGCTGGAGGCAAGGATCATTCAACCCAGTGTTAGTCCTTTTTCATGTCTAGGGCTATTAGTGAAAAAGAAATATGGCAGTTGGAGGTTTTGTATGGACTGTCGAGCGTTGAACAAGGAGATTGTTCTAGAAAAGTTTTCTATTCCAATTATTAATGAGCTACTGCATGAGCTATATGGAGCAGTGCTTTCCTCGAATATTCATCTGAAGTCAGGGTACTATTAGATCCGGATGAGGCCCGACGATAATTCCAAGACGGTATTTAGGACTTATGGGGAACACTACAATTTTTTAGTGATGCCTTTTGGCCTCACTAACTACTTTCCAGCCCCTGATGAATAATGTATTCCAATCATATATGCAGAGGTTTGTGTTAGTCTTTTTTATGATAGTTCGATTTACAATAGGACTGAGGAGCACTTAGAACACTTGGGATTGGTGTTATCCACTCTACGGGATCACCACTTGTTTGGCAATCTAAAGAAGTGCTTATTCACCTAGCTTAGAGTGGAGTATTTGGGACATGTGACATCACAAGAAGTAGCAGCTGATTAGAGCAAAATCGAGGCCATGTTGAGGTGGCCAATACTCAAGAGCTTGAGGGAGTTGAGAGGGTTCTTGGTGCTTACAGGCTACTACATAAATTTCGTGAAGGGATACAGTTCAATAGCCTGGCCTTTGACCGAACAATTAAAGAAGGATCATTTCAATTGGGGTGAAGCCACTACCAAGGCCTTTGAGAAGTTGAAGAAGGTGATGACCAACGTGCCAGTGTTAGCCTTGCTTGACTTCAGCTAGCCTTTTGTTGTTGAGATGGATGCTTTGAGGTATGGGCTAACAGCTGTACTTATGCAGGATGAGAGAACAATGGTTTATTTCAGTTAGGTGTTCACTACCAGGGCGAGACTCAAGTCAGTTGTGGGCTTCAAAAATTCGCGCATTGGCCTCTCCGTTGACCCTTTTCTTTTTCTTCGGGTTGTTGAGGAGAGTTTTAATGTTTAAGTTTTGAGACAAATTTTCAAAAGGCAATTTGATTTTTAAATAAGACACTACCTAGGGATTTTGCTCTCATTTTGCGAGGACTTTATTGTATGAGTTTTGGTTTCCTTTAGGCGCAAGCCCCTATAGTTAATTACCTCTCCCAATAATGAAAGAGAACTTTCGATTAAGGCTAGTCGTCAAACATACACAGAATATCCAACGTATAGTAGCAACATGGTTTAGGTATATTTGAGAATGTAGTATTTATAATTAGAAATTTCACCATCTCGTATTTAAAGTGGATGGTGGGGGAATGATGACGAGCCTGATCAAGATCTAATGGTTTCGTCGTCCCGAGCCATCATGGTCCTTCGTCTACTTAATTAGAGGGGGTAGTCAACTCAACTTGATAGAAGGATCCTTGTCGGCATCCATAAGTTGATTCGTCTAAGGTTACCTTATAGACCTATGGTGAATATTTGTCTAAGGGAACAAATTTAAATCCATCTTAGCCGACAAAGGGCTTTGTGCCATATTTATTATATCTTATTGATTAATATCTCAAAGATTTAATGTCATTGAGGAGCATACAGGTGCTGACCATGATCATAATATAATGGTGCCAATTTGCGGCGAACCACCCAGTTCAGAGGGTGTTTGTGTGATGCCCCAGATATCAATAGTGAAAAGATTCGTCTGACATTCTGATCGAACTCCATTCCAGTTGCCTTGCTCGGACCTGAAAATTTTAACCACATATAATGAGCTTACAAAGCCCAGCAGGTCACCAAAGCCTACAACTGAAATCAAAGCACGGCGATGCTATCAATATGCAGGTCAATCAAATCGAGTCAATCAATGGTCAATGAATCTATGCAATACGGAAATCCATAGTCAATGAAATCAAGTCTGTACAGCGGAAATCAAATCAGTAGTCAATGCAGTATGGAAATCAATAATCAATACAACGATAAAAACATCGATAAATCAACACGTCTCAGCAATCAAATCAATAGTGACTGGAAGCCAATATCTATCCATCGTAGCAGTGTCTATCAATCAATACTATCGGTTCCATCAATCATGTCGTCTAGTCCATTCGTTGAATCTATATCATCTGTCCAATCAATAGAATGGCTGTCTAATCAATAGCAATCAATAACGTCAATTAATTCAATAAGGGACTCGTGTCAGAACGTACTCTTGCAAATCAGTCAATCCAATTATTCAATAATTTATGGGCACAAAATGAAAATAGTTACAAATTCTCTCGAACTTGATAATTCTGTCACCTTAAAATTTGATATTCTAAAGAGTTTGATGGACTGGTTGAGCTGGTCCAACCAATCAACCTGGCCCCAACAAGGGGGTAGTCTAGTTGGCGGGCAGAAGAGCCCTGTGGGCCTCACTTGTGTGGGCAACAAACAAGGAGAGAAGGAAGGAGGGGGTGGTGGGAGGGCTCAAAAGGGAGTAGTTCTGTCTTTAATTGCTTATCTTAGAAAATTAAGATTGAGAGGAAATTAAGAAGGTTTATTTAGGGAAAGAGGGTTAATTTGGAAGGATTATTTAGGGAAAAAAGACTAATTTGAATTCAGATTAGGAAGGGAATTATGAAGGTTTATTTAGGATTGTTGGATTAATTAAGTTTTGTTTTCATTAGGGGATTTTGTGTTTTGTAGTAATTTTCCTTGGAGTTATTCCTAATGGCGCCTAGGGTTTGTGGAGGGTCAATCTACATCTCGAATAGTAGATTAATTTGTATCTTTGTTTGTTTTGTCGATATCAAGTCAATGTTCGTCCATACTGGTATTCCCGAGGAACACAAACATGCTACCATCTTGAAGGAAGGAGTCTCACCTATCAGTATTCGTCCATACCGTTATTCCCAAATTCAGAATGATGCGATCGAGAGATTGATTAGGAAGATGCTAAAGGCAAGGATTATTCAACCCAGTGTCAGTCCTTTTTCATCTCTAGGGCTATTAGTGAAAAAGAAATATGACAGTTGGAGGTTTTGTATGGACTGTCAAGCGTTGAATAAGGAGATTGTGCTAGAAAAGTTTTCTATTCCAGTAATTGATGAGCTACTGCATGAGCTTTATGGAGCAGTGCTTTCCTCGAATATTCATTTGAAGTCAGGGTACTATTAGAACCGGATGAGGCCCGACAATATTCCCAAGACGGTATTTAGGACTTATGAGGAACACTACAAGTTTTAGTGATGCATTTTGGCCTCACTAACAACTTTCCTGCCCCTGATGAATAATGTATTCCAATCATATATGCGAAGGTTTGTGTTAGTCTTTTTTATGATAGTTTGATTTACAATAGGACTAAGGAGGAGCACTTAGAACACTTCGGATTGGTGTTATCCACTGTACGGGATCACCACTTGTTTGGCAATCTAAAGAAGTGCTCATTCACCCAGCCTAGAGTGGAGTATTTGAGACATGTGACATCACAAGAAGTAGCAGCTGACCAGAGCAAAATTGAGGCCATGCTGAGGTGGCCAATACTCAAGAGCTTAAGGGAGTTGAGAGGGTTCTTGGTGCTTACAGGCTACTACATAAAGTTAGTGAAGGGATATAGTTCAATAGCCTGGCCTTTGACCAAACAACTAAAGAAGGATAATTTCAATTGGGGTGAAGTCACTACCAAGGCCTTTGAGAAGTTGAAGAAGGTGATGACCAGCATGCCAGTGTTAGCCCTGCTTGACTTCAGCTAGCCTTTTGTGGTTGAGATGGATGCTTTGAGGTATGGGCTAGTAGCTGTACTTATGCAGGATGAGCGAACCGTGGTTTATTTCAGTTAGGTGTTCACTACCAGGGCGAGGCTCATGTCAGTTGTGGGCTTCAAAAATTCGCGTCTTGGCCTCTCCATTGACCCTTTTCTTTTTCTTCGGGTTGTTGAGGAGAGTTTTAATGTTTAAGTTTTGAGATAAATTTTCAGAAGTCAAATTGATTTTTAAATAAGACATTGCCTAGAGATTTTGCTCTCATTTTGCGAGGACTTTATGGTATGAGTTTTGGTTTACTATAGGCGCAAGCCCCTATAGTTAATTACCTCTCCCAATAATGAAAGAGAATTTTCGATTAAGGCTAGTCGTCAAACATACACGGAATATCCAACGTATAGTAGCAACATGGTTTA